ACCCCCCCCGTGTAAAGAAGCCAGCCCGAAGCTACTACTCCTCACTCCCCACCAAAACCCCCTCCCCCTTCAAAGCATCGACGGCCTCAGCAACCCACTCCTGACACCGTCTCAACGGCTCCCACGGATACAACCTCCTCGCCCCGTGAAACTGCTTCTTTGGCACTGGCACGCCCTCACAAATCCCCAAGACGCACCCGTACTCTGCAATCGCCACCACACCCAGCTTCTCCTTGCCACAGAACCCTGGCATCTCCTCCGGCGGCTGCTCAGTCCGGTGCTCGAAGATCATACCTTCCTGTATGTTCCCTTTGATGTGGTAGATGTGGCCGGTGGAGGAGCCGTTCTCGTGAGTCTCGACGAAGAGGGCGTGGTGGTCGCGCGGGAGGCCGCTTTCGACAATAAGGTAGATCGCATAGGTTATCATTTCTTGTTTTCTTCTTTTTTTTTTTTTTTTTTTTCCTTACCGTGCAGAATATTTCTCAATTCACAGTGTGAGCTTTTGTGGGGATTTGCAATAAAGTTGAAACTGGTTTTTTCTTGGACTGACCATAAGATGATTTGTACTGGTGGTTGCTACTTATAGAGAGTTAGGTACGAGCTGCCTTTTCCGCCCCACCCTGACCCCCAGCCACTAATTTCTGACCCCCCCGGAGCTGTAAGCCCCGCATTCAGCAGAAAGCACCAGATTAAAACAGATTAGGTAAGTGGTGTTGCGCGGCCAATTACCTGGACTTTTTCCGGTCCGTGGAAAGTGTGCTCCTTTGTCACATGAAATTATAACAAAATCCTCGTTGCACCAGCGAGAACACAACAAACAGATTTCCTAATACCTAGCTCCGTTTCAAGTTTAGCTAACAATACATAAATAAGTAGTGTTAGTATTAGAAAAAGTCAGTTCTATTGTAATGTCTACGGCGGGGCTGAAGATTCCAGTAGTACCGTCATAAATAATGTAATATATATATCAATCGTTCCGTAAACGAGTGTTTTTTCAGAATCAAAAAGGACACTGTCCCCTTCGCCCCTTTCTAAGTTTTAACTTCTCCTGCCTCGCATAATCTTTGCCTCTCCCTTTCATATACGACGGCCCTATATCGCCCGTATTGAATCCACACGGCATGAACCCATCACCATCATCGCCCGGAAGAGGCCGTCCCAGGGACCATGTAATCCAGGCATATGGCCCCCAACGATTCCAAAGCGTCGGGGCCACGTAATAAGGATGGGCTTCCCAAACGTGTACTTGGTGTGGAGATCGTTCTTCTGGATCTGGGTTTAATCGTACCTGGCGAAAGAGAAACGGGCGTGGCAGGACAAGGTATCGGAGGATGTACTTTCGAACAACCAATACCGTGTGGGTTAGAGCGTAAACCCATTGAGCGGGCTGACGATACCTAAACAAATTTATCAGCTTGAATGGCCAGGCTAGCAATTGCGGGCCGAGGGAGCTGACCCCATTGATAATCGCAGCTGGTCGTCCATCAAAACAAGTATCATGTTTCTAGCCAGGTTGTGGAATATCTTGGGTACACCACCCAGGGCAACATTCCGTATCAACTGATCCTGTAAGTCACTGAGGCCAGGCAAATGGCGCATCGCTTGCATTTCGTAGTCATGACACCATTTCTCAATCTCCTCGAAAAATTGCAAGCCATCCTTGAACCCTTCCTTACCTGATGGTAAATGATCGTAGCTGACATCCATAGCGTCGCCGAAGCTTTTCCAGAAGGTACCCATTGCACACTTTTCCATCCGGCTAGTCTGATCCCACTCATATCGATCGATCCATTTTGCGGGCTCGATCGTAAGCAGCCCAAGTGTGTAAAGCATGTCATCCTCAATAATACTGCCCGATTCTCTATACGCATGATGTAGGTACTTCATTCGAGCAATCGCTTCGTGACCGCGTCGGGACGCTGGTGAATTTGCTAGCGCTTCAACCATCAAAGCCACTGTGTCCGAATATCGCTTATACCAGGTTTTCTGTGAAGAAAAATCTGATTTCCTTGAAAGAACCCGAGAAATGGTGGGAATCGCATAGGTCTAATATGTGTGTCATTAGCATGTGATGCTTTATTTTTCCTACTCGGCGTAAACAATCTAACAAGAAAATAATCAGGTGTACCCGAAATAAAGCATATTCCAAACCTATTTGAAACATGGCCGGGAACTCTAGCTGTCCCAGAGTTGTTAATATCTCCCATGCATCATCATCTGTTAATTCCTTATTCAGATAGCGTTTCGAGTATTGGTTATGGATTGATCTCCGTCGACGGAATCGCAGTATATGAACCAGAACCATATAAAAACAGAGTATGGTAAGGTTTATGTACATCCCCATCATATAAGACATTGGACAAATTTCTCTGAATCCTGGAGAGCTGCCCGCGACGCTTGGTAAAATTATAGTTTGGATGATGCTGTAGAAAGGTTGCGTCTGCAAAATGCAATTCTTTAACACGTCCATACCATAAGCCCATAGGTGCAGGTAAGCGGATAATACTACTCAGCTGAGTGGCTATCACATAGGAAAACCCTAGTCGGGGCGGGGTGTATTGATCCACTACTTGCTAGTGCGCTGGACAATGGTATTTCCATTATCCTAATTAAGGATGTTGCTTTGACTCAGATGCAACAGCTATGTCACCCCACGCTCTTTGATTTATTCCCTCAGGCATACGCTAGACCATATAAAGTTAGATCATTATTGTTCTGCCAATTATTTGCATTTACCAAGCTTGCTAGATGGGAGCTGAACCTATACCTTAGTGCGTGGTCCACCGAGCCTTCGCTGCATTTACTGGTCCGCCTATTGACCGGTTCTTAAGGTTTCACTCGTACTCCCGCCAGTCTGGTGTGTATATCCCTGGCTTCCCAGTGCCTTTATCTTCTACAGCTAGACTTCTGCATAGCCCAATATAACCCGGACCCAACCCAGACTTAATCTGAGCTGGGTTAGATTCTGGATCGAAGACTCTAACCTAAGCCTTGCTGTGGATCAGGTTCGGATCCAATATCAGAATCTGTACCTATAGATTGGGTATGGATATTAGATCTAAAATCTAAATCTGTAAATCTATAGGTTACATATATCAGTCTATAGAATATCTATTAAGAATCTATTTCTATATAAAATTCTAAATTATATTATACTAAAATATATAAAAATATTAATTTATTAAAAATGAAATACTATTTTTTTGACTGGCATTTGGCCAGATTAGGTTAGATTAATAGGGTTAGTTATACCTAACTGCTAGATTATAGCTAGATGAATGGAATTTCTATATCTAACTACAGTTAGAGTTGTCATTTGAACCCGCTAGGCCCGACCCGTACCCGCCCGACCCGGCTCCGGGTCGGGTGCGGGGAGACCTATTAAAATCCTGACCTATGTGCAACTCTACCAGCAATATTATAGATCTCTACTTGGTGGCCCTTGTCTCTGTACAGCCTTGTATAAATATGTGGTAAGATAGATACTTGCTGTGGCTACTTTACTAAGCTATAACATCTACAGACAGTTAGTCTAATATTGTAAGAATAGTTGGGAGTTACAAAAGTAATAGTATCTTTTTGAAAGTTGGGTTGATACTATTTTGTAAGCTGAAATACTACTTTCAGCTATAAATATATATGACAATTCTCTCAAATACAGTTAAAATCATATAAATAAAGACTCTCTAGAACTAGAAATAAAATATCTAATACTACTGAGCTGTGTTCTATGAAGCCAAGTATACAAAGCTAGACAATTAAAAGAAACTATTAGTTATATATTTCTTTGGCACAGCTGTTACGCAGCGAATATAGTATATTGCAGTAAGACTAAGATTATATTATTCTCTGAGACTTGTGTATGGTAGTATCTCGAGAACGGTATGTCGGTTGCGTCTGGTTGAATTCCTTCGAGATATATAAATTCGATTGCCACAGCGACTAAGTGCTGTGCAATCGGGGAAGCCGTTTTTTTTTTTTTTTTTCTTTGCCCGTACTAGGAATAACTGTACGTGAAAAGTTAGTTCTTTTTCTGGTGAGGCCAGGCTTCTTCCCAAAGTTCCAATACGTTACATTTGACCCATACCGGTGCCATCGAGTACCCCTGGCAGAGTCAACAACTAAGCTCACCCAATTACTATCTATTTCCTCCTTCCTTCACGGAGTGTTGCCATCGTATAGAGTTATTTAGAACAGAAAGACTTTCTGTATTGTGAATATTCTTCAGCAGCCAGCTTTGTTTCCGTAAAGATAATTCTGGGCCAACCATAGAACGGCACCCGAAAGATGTTCGCTTAACCAAAAGATCAGTATAATGGGGGTCCAGGTCATATGGTTGATCTTTGCTTGTCATATAGGAATAACTAACACGGGAAATGCTGATCTACCAGTTTGTACGTGATGATTGGTATGTCTGTCTCAATAGTATAGCCCTAGGCCACGAAGGGCGCGCAGGGACAGCTTGAAGACCTTGTTTTGATCGTTTGATAGAAAGAGAGGCTAGGTGCCTCCCTCAGTAGTAAATCACTCAGCTGGCACGTTTCCCATCTCAAGCCCTGGAAAAGATATGACTTTCCCCTTTCTCTCTAATAATAGGTGTTAGTAGCGCACCAGGAGGCTGGAAATCCTTCGTGTTCCAACCCCAACAGCGGACTGGGGATTTTAGTATAGAAACACCTAAGCCTTCTTCCTCGGGTCACTTACAGTATCACATGGTGATTGTGGTGCTTGAGACGCCGGTCATGACCTTTGAATGATTTGATATCAGATACTAAACTACTTGGTACATTTTGGCCCCCACTGTTCTAGGCCCACACAGGCTGGATTAGGAAAAAGGGCTGGATAAGGGAAATGAACTGATTAGGAAAAAGGGCTGGATTAGGAAATAGGGCTGGATTAGGAAAAACGACTGATTAAGAAAAAGAAAGTATGGCCAAGTATCCGATGTCTACCAAACATAGCGCGTGCACAGCGAGTGGATCTCACGTCAGACCGAAGCCGTGTAGTTTGCCTGGGCTGGTCTTGCTGGATGAGTATCTCTAGGCGATATAAACTCAGGATTAACTAGGAGGAGTTTGAGCAATTGAGCAGTTGTGTTGACTAGATCAAGGAAATTGGAAAGATCTCCGGTGAATCCTAGGTAGGAAATTGGAATAAGGGCTCTCTAAGTGTAGCCGTGGGTATTCAGCTCATTCTTTTCTCTTTAAGCATTCTTCCCCCAGTATCTCGAGAAATTACTTCATCACAGCAAGGCTTTCATTTGGATAAAAATGGTAAAAGAGGAGAGATAAATGAGCGAGCTCTGAGCTGCTACGACTATCATTAAGTCAACAAGTCATTAAACCTAGACACAATGCATGGACAATCCTGCCAATAGATTGTATCGGAGGGTGTGGAGTCTATATAACGAAGTTATTCCGCTTATAGCGAGCTAAAGGATGCAACTGAGACATGCAACACACTAACTTCATCCTTACCACAGGGACAGTCTCGACAGACAGCCACAGTGACAAATATCCTGAGGTTCAGGGGTATATAAAGGCTAGGACATCATGTCTTCCTTCTCTTCATCGCTTCCGGCTCTAGTCCTCATTTCCTTTCAATTCCTGGTATTTAAGCATCCATTTTCTCCACCCCGTTGTTTTGCATTTCGGTTCTCCTCGCTCTGCTTTCTCGATGCTGCTGACCAAAGCTACAATCCTGACGCTGAGTTTATTCTCTGGACTCTCGTCAGCCCAGCCTTCTACACCACCTTCGGATACCGATAGCCCCAGCCCATTGATCGACGGGCAGTCCTGGCCTCATCGGTGGTTCTCCTATAACCTCGACGACAGCGAGAACTTTGACCTAGCCACGTTCGATACAGCTAATGACGCCGACATCCCTACTACCAACATACCCACTCCCACCAACGGGACTTTGGTCACCCGTACCAACGTGAAAGCCTGCGAGAACAGCATCGCACACAGGTTTTCCTGCTCGTCCATCAGCATCGCTGCCATGTTCGCGGCGCAGCTGGCGGGACAGATTTACACCGCATCTCGCCAGCATGACTGCGGCACTCACTCGGGCACCATTGATGGCTGGCGCTGGGAGTACCACGCCACCGGCCGTCACTGCGACACCACCGCCCAGCAGAAGACCATCGAGGGCGCCATATACAAGTACCTGAAGGAAGTCGAGCGCAACAAGGTCTGTGGTACCATGTGCGTGGAACTGACCCACGGGGGCACCTGGAAGGGTTACTTGAAGTTCGGGAAGGCTGAAAACTTTGAAGCATCCGCGTACTGTGGGGGAAAGCTAGGGTTTAGCAATTGTGCGTCTGGCGGGAAGAATGATGCTCCTTGAACTGGCTGTGTCTCTTTCATAGGTGTGTCAGGAAAGGGGGAGATAAGGAGGGTTTTGGACGGTTGCTGTTTGAGGTTTGCTGTGCTATATTTTTTCCGAGGTTCCGGGAGTGAGATATATTGGTCGTATATGAAAATACGTGGTAAAATTCTCTAGTCTTTATTGAAAAACAGGAGCAACAGCTCTGTTGAACTGTTGTGTTGGAAAATTATGCTTTCAATATGCATCTTGTGTGTTATGGAGTAACAGCCAAAGTGCCCCATGCGCTACCTATCTATATTAAATAGAATATTGGATGCCACTGGAGTACCCAGATATCTCAATTATTGTACTCCAGTGTTTTATACCCCTTGGTAAGTTTGAGCTTCGAAGATTGTAGTACCCCGGTACAGTCTGGCTATATATATTATATATAGACACATGCAGCTGAAATGTTAATGCCAGCGAGATGCGGGTGGCAAAAGAAGCCATAAACATCGCTTCCAGCGATTCGTCACCGATGGGATTCTCATAATATTGAAAGTGTATCTATCATCTCTTGCTCTGCCCAAGTGCGTAGAGCTTGGCTGCCTGCAATCCGCAAAGTAGCGAGTAGAGCTCGAGCAGTTTGCCGGTTCTGGGGGTTGAATAGTACACTCAAAGAGTACGTGGCTGGCTTTACACATCGTACTGTTACAAAGTGTGACATCCTCGAGCACTCGGGCTTCCCGGATAATTCGAATTTTCGCGATGTATTCACTTTTGCCGAGGAGGAAACAGACGCCATTGTCCCTACCGCCGAGTATTTAACATTGAAGTTCCATATCAGGGATCACTGTCACTTCAGAGTGAGCAAAGCACGAATTTGGCCTTTATCACAACACACTTCCAACTTGGCACAATCGATATGTCAAACCCCTGTACTTCCCCTTCTCGGCAACGTTCACAGTGTCGACTTTCACAGCCCTAACCAATTCTTTGAGCACCTTGTTACCTACTACGGAGAGATTCTACTGGCCGGATCGACAGGCTAGAAAACTAGCCGGCGCGCAAACTTGGACTATTTCCGCATCTATCTGGTAACTTTAGATATTAAAATAAATTACTATTATCAATTTACAAAAATAGAGTACATACTAATTCCTCTACTATATCTAAATGCTCTGAACTACAATTATTATCTGACCTATATTATCTAGATGGTACTACCACATCTACTGAATAGTATTTTGATATCATTCTACTTATATCTGACAGAGATTACAATCTGTCTAATTAATTTTATAGGTCTCTAGAGCTTCTCTACTGAACATCTAGTAGATCAAGTATTGATAGTAGATCTTCTCTGTCAGATACATCCAGCATAGCTTTGTTTATAGAAATTATTTGATCTGGAGGTCAGGTCTGATAGCCTGACTAGATATTAGGAAGAACATCGGTCATGTCGGCTTCTGGCAGCTCTCCTTGATTTCTGTATACAATTAGTGGATATTCAGACGCCCTGCAGGTAAATAATTAGGATGAAATCAGTGAAGGCAAGACCGGCCCCGATAGCGCTGGTGGCAACGAGGACGGCGGGTCCTATCTGAGCTGCCTGAGCTGCCTGATCCTGTAGATCGTTCTGATTTTGATTCTGATTCTAAATGATCCTGCCAATCTGAGGGGGGCTCTGGATGGTATGGCCCAAGCTAGTTGGGCCTTATGTCGCTGGACCTGAGCTATAAACGTGTCTAGGGCCTGCAGTGCCTTGGTTTCCAGGTCAGTGAGATAATAAAGATGGTGGGCTGCCTATATGTCCTGGGGCTCCAGGTGAATCAGGTCCCTATAGCAATTTTATATAAAGAATATTAAAGCCCTTAAAGTATATGTATATTTTAGAAAGGCGATTGGGCTCTGTAGAGTCTAAAGCGTTTTATTGAAGGATTACTTCTGGTAAAGCAATTCAAGGCAAATAGGGCCTGCAAGGGGTCTAAAATAGATACTGGTGGCCCTGTACCAGGATATAGTGAATGATATCGAATAGGGTATCTGCTTGATCGTGACACCGACTCTTTGTGGCGATCTAGGAACTGAGTGGCCAACTTATCTGGAACCGGTAGAATTAAGATCTGATGGAAAGGACTTTTTTTCGGCGGGGTTGATACTGGTTGGTGAACCCGAAATATATATTTCGATGGTAATAGGGTATGGACGCAGCAGGGCTGTATCTATGACTTCTGATTTAATAATCCAAATAGGCGATGTATACTGCTCGGATGCTCTTTTAGCTTCTTCAGACTCAGGGCTAGGATCTGGCGTCTCGGGACAGTACATTGATATGCTGCTATTGGAGGATGTAAGGATTTGATTGCAGATATTGGCTCGCAGGTACGTATTGCTTGATAAGTATATTGAATCAATACTAGATCTAGATTATTTATCTGATCTTGATATTCTGATAGCGTGATATGGTGGGCAGCTAGATGATTTACAGCTTTTGATGGATACATAGCGGCTTGGCGAATAGAGCAGGTTAGTAGAGATCAGTCTGGTTAATAGACAAGAAAAGTGGTTAGATCTGTAGCCATTGCTTTCGAGTTTTGAATTATTTTGTAGGGGGGAATGTCGGAATACCTGAATATAGCCAGCAAGGGAACTACATACAGAGTATAGTCCATTTTCCCAGGATTAAGTGAATGGATCAAGAAACATGCGGTCAGCTGTAGTAGGAGCGTATCGGCGAGGACAATAGCGCACATCCTTAGGGTCCTTAGTCGCTATGGAAGGTGAAAACTAACAGCAACCCATATAATGTTTCTACTTTTTTTTGGTAAACGAGAATTAGTTAAAAGGGTAAGTTTATTTAAGACACTGTCTATATGTACAATAACATGTACGTTAGACTTGATTAAACAATAAAATATAAAATAGGATGGGGCTTGTGTATAGAATCCTTTGTTGTTGCACTAACTCACCACCTATCCTGAATTATTATAATGTTTTGAAAGTGGTGAAGAATTTTACGAAAAATATCAAGTCTATATGGCGAAATATATTACAGCGCTTAACGCAAGTGTCAACAGAATATTACGAACTCAATCCTTACCAATTGTGGCTATGAAGCTGTAGCTACTTATAGGAAATTGACCAGTCCTATATAATTCCAAAAGTACCTAGCGTCATCCGTGGTAGGGCACAAGCAGTAGGGTCCAAAAGCGCTGCATTAGCCGTGTCTATCCCAGCATGGGGAGCAGTGCGAGAAAACAATAGGAAAGAAAAAGAGGGCAAAACTTATTTTGCTCTAAGAAGTGGGTCGCTTATAACTAGGTGTTTATCAACGAGTCTCAAATATGCAATGAGTTATGACTTCGGAGAACTCTATTAAACATTCTTCTGTCTGAGTCATCAGATTACCTAGCCAACGTTTTTACACATTGCGCCTTTTTTGAAGAGCATTTCTATTGTGATAACAGGTATGACACTTAGGAAATATACTAATCCGGCTCTATTAAGCAATCATTCATCATACGGCGCTCGTACAGAAGACCCGAAGTGCTAGCAAGGGAGAGAAACTACTGGACTGTGTCCCGATGCTGATCAAATCCAACACCTCCACAAGATCAGTGTACTGCCCGCCGTACAAGAAAATGAAACTCAGCCGCTTCCGAATCGCTTTCATCATATCCAACTTATTCACCCGGTCCAACGTCCTAAGACACAATATCTTCCCGCCTGGTTGCACAATACGCTAAGCATCAGCAAAACTCTGGTGCTTCCTAACAAATGTAAGGACCGTGTCAATCTTTATTACGCGCTCGACGGTGACGTCGGCGATCGACGTTGTGCCGGGTACGATGGTGGAATTGGGGACACCGAGCTCCCGTGCTGCGGCGAGTTTCTCCTCCCGTAGGTCGGAGGCGATGACACGTGCTTTTATGTGCCTTAGGATGATTTGGAGGGCGTTGAATCCCAGGCCGCTGAGTCCGAAGAGGAAGACAATTGAAGATCATATCCAGCAGGGTCCCACTCCCGCGGCTCGATGCATTGGCTGAGTCTCTCCACACTATCCACAAGAAAGGCGTCGGTTATCCTAATGCAGACTCCAAGCCGAGATCCAGCCATTCTTCGGTTAGCATGGAACAACGGATGAATGCCGAGCTCATACACAGTAAAATAATATGCATGAACAGTTTGTATAGATTCATCACTATTCAATACTCCATGCACTAATTTGAACCCCCACTCACCACGACCGGACTACCCACTCGGAGATTACCTCATCGCTGTGGTGATTTCAAATCAAAACCTTCAGTGCCAAGTACGACGGGAAAATAAATAGCAAGAATGAATACCTGATTTGGCAAAAAAACATATATGTCCTTCTGCAAACCCTGGAAAACAGCATTTCGTCTCTAAGAGCTCGCTCGATATGGTCAAAACTTGCCAATGGGTCCTTCGCAAACGGGCCTCGGACCTACCGATCCTTACCGGACCTGACGCTACCTTCGCACTCATTGAAGCCGATTCTGGTGCTCCAAATAAAGGCGAGGTCCTGATCAAGTCGTTGTATTTCTCAAACGACCCCTCTCAGCGTGGCTGGGTCGATGCCTTCACGGAAAACGAACGCCTTTACGTTCCTCTGCTTCCAGAAGGAGCGCCCATGCGAGCATTTGCCATTGCGGAAATCGTCGAATCCAAAGCCGACTCCCTGAAGAAAGGCGACCTTGTCCGGGTGTGGACCGGGTGGTCGGAATATGCGGTAGTGGACGCGCAACGGTGCACAAAACTAGCACCACTGCCCAATGGCCTGAGTGAAACACACCATCTTGGTGCTCTTGGATTTACGGGCTTAACGGCTTACTTTGGGATCAACGATGTTGCCCAAGCAAGAAAAGATGATGTTGTCGTCGTTTCTGGTGCGGCAGGTGCAACCGGAAGTATGGTGGTGCAGCTCGCAAAAAAGGTCATCGGCTGCAAGATGGTTATTGGCATAGCAGGTTCCGATTCGAAGTGCAGATGGGTCGAGTCCTTGGGTGCAGATACTTGCTTGAACTACAATTCATCGAATTTTGCCCAAGATCTGGTGAAAGCGACACCGGAGTTTGTCAATGTCTACTTTGATAATGTTGGTGGAGGTATTCTGGATCTCCTCCTGACTCGCATGGCGAAATATGGCCGCATCGCAGCATGTGGCGCAATTACCAACTACAACAAATCTGGCAATAACACCATCGGTATCAAGAATTGGTTTGAAATTATCACTATGCAAGTTCAAATTAAAGGATTCCGTGTTATGGATTATGTGGGCCGATTCGAGGAAGCTCTTCAAGTCCTGTTGAAGGCAGTGGTGGATAGAAAGCTCAAGATTGATTCCGAGATAGAACATGTGGTTGATGGCCGTTTTGAAGATGTCCCAGGGATTTGGATGAAGCTCTTTACCGGAGTCAACCAAGGAAAATTGATCACAAAGCTTTAGATTCTAACCCATCTGTTAGCCATGAAATATGTACACCTGAAATCCAGATTTTTCCGACGTATCTTCTACGGCGTGCTTCGAGGCGTGAGAGAAGCATCGTAAAGATTTCCATCACTTTGCCCGAAAGGTCAACCATCCCTGGAGAGGTTAATAGTGACTGTTACTCTGGGCGCCACATCAGTCTCAAGAAGCTCTGCGCTCGTTAATTTCATGTTTACCGTTGACAACCGTATTCGCAGGAAAAAGAAAAAAAAAAGAAAAGAAAAACAAACACAAACGTAATTTCAAACTGGAAACAAGTTTGAGATGAAATATAAGCGCGCACAATGTGCCTATGATGGCCGAAAAATAATTTGAGAGCTATGTAATGTCCATGCTTTTTAGGCAGAGGTAACCCCGGCAAGAGGTCGTCTACTTACATAAAACCTGCATAATCTGTTTCCCTCATGTAGCGTTCAATATCCATCAGTTTGTCCATCTCCACGCCCACTTCTTCTGGTTTCTTGACATTTGGATCACCTCCTGCCCACCCATACTTTGAGACATATAGCTTGCTCTCGTACATTTCTCTCGCCAACCAGTCAGGAGCTCCAGCGGAATGGAACTCTTTGTCCACTTGGACGACAAGTTTAACTCCTTTGATGTCAGCCCACAGCTTCCAGTATTCGTCATAATGCATGAGGCGGCTGCATCCTAGAATCACAGTGCCGGGTGGGGCGTGTATGAGAGCTTTAACCAGGTACCCCGTATCGGTTTGAGCATGAACCCAAGGAACTGGCTGGTCTCCAAAGCCTGCGGTGACATGCAGAACAAAAGTACCATCGGCTTGTTTCTCCGGTCTCTGCATTGGGTTCCACCAGTTGCTGAGATAGACTCCAATTTGGAAATAGCTCGTCTTTGCTGCTAGATCTGGGTATGTTTGTTGCAAATACTCGGTGTACTGAGCTTTGCCATCAAAATGCAGATTCCAGAGAATTTCGCCCTGGCTCCACTTCTTGCTGTTGCTCAGGGTGGACAATACAACTCGGTCTAGAGTTGACACATGCTTGGCAGCAGCGTCGATGATATTCTTTCCTTGTTGGACTTCACGCTCGAAGGCAATCTCATTGATTTGCTTTCCCCTTCTCTTGGCTTCGTCGGCCACCTGCGGATCTTTGACGAACTGCCTACATTGAGACGAGAGCAGTCAGCAACCTCTCAAAGCATAAAATACCATTTAAGCCTCTTACCAAAAATCAGTGGTTCCAAAGATGGCGTTAGCTCCATTGAAGGCCCTGTCTAACGATGCCACATCGTCGTAATCGCCGGCCACGAGCTCAATGCCTGACTCACGCAGAGAGACGTTAGAAGCCTTGTCCGGATTGCGAGTTATGCCCCGAACGCGCCAGTTTGGGTCTTGAGCAAACAAGCGAGCGACGGAGCCACCTTGAACACCAGTGACACCGGTAACGACAATCAACTTTGTAGGCATGTTGAAAGGTAATACAGTTTTTGATAAGTACTTGGTGCATGTTCCTACAGGTCCAGGGTACGGCTATCTTATATACCCGCAATGGTGGAATCAAGGGGTTTTATCCAATTGTGTTATGCAATCATGTTAAGAATATCCGAGGGAAAATAAAATCTCTCTGGTTGTTCATCAGCTGTGTCGACGGCTGCGGTACACTAAGGTCTATGGAGATGACGTCAACATTTTGTGCTCAGGGTTCGGATTTCTAAGCGGATCTGCATAACCTCGGGATAGGAAGGGGTGTATGTCAGCGAGTGGCTCTCCGGTGGGCTCTCCGGTGGGCTCTCCGACGATTACATATGCCCTGCAATCAGTCACGTCTATTAGCGTAATGTACAATAAAGTTCGGCAAATGGATTGTGCACAGCATAGGCCTGAAGTTGGCAACCAAATTCAGCTAAATTACTCTAGTTATGTGGGGCCGTGGCCAACATCCTACAATTTCTGCCAAGGGGGTAGGCTTTACAAATTATCAATCAGCCTTTCACCTAGTTACATTCTACAAGCATCTTAGAAGCCTTTGAGATGCATACTCAACTGTTTTCATGCCGTTTTCCACGGTGCAACGCGAGCTACCACCGAAAGGAGCATCGTCGTCGCCACGAGACACATCATTCTGGAGGCCAAGCATTCAAGTGCAGTACTTGTGACCAGAGCTTTGGCCGGAGGTAAGAATGGCCGAAATTATTCTCTTAGCATTGCTAAATGCCGACGCATAGTGACACGCTGCGGCGACATATGCGGTCAATGCATGGTGTGGAGAAACCCTCCCGTAAAAAGTCCGCATGTGCCGACTGTCGAAATCAGAAAACAAGGTGCCAGGGCGGATCACCGTGTACTAACTGCATTCGACGTGGATTGCAATGTTCTTTGGCGCAACAGAAGGAAGATAATAGAAAGCAGACTAGTAATCTCAGTGGCTCGAAAGACACACCGTCAATGCCGCACGGAAGTCTTAATTACTTATCTGCGAGTCGGTCCGAAACGGAAAGACACTATATTGCGGTTTATTTCAAGCTATTTCACCCTTACTGGCCCTTCATTCACCAGATTTCCTTCAAAGGATCAGACGAGTCACCCTTACTTGTCCAGTCCATGGTTGTTATCGGTATCTGGTTGAGTAATGAGGATGGTGGACAGTCGCGGGCTGCTGCATTGCATAATGTTCTAAGTTTGGCAATACGTCAACAAACGGTATGTTCCTGAGCTTTTCGCCATATTACACTAACAGAAAATGCCGTAGAAGCTATGGGATGCTTCTGAATTTGAGAACGCATGTATTTCCTGTTCCTGGCCTATCCCGACATATCAGGCTATTTTACTCCATATCATTTTTGCAATGCTATATAAGAATTCTGGAGTACTTGGCCTCGACCTAAAACCCTCTTTATCAGCCGCTGATGCCGAGGTGCTGAGCAGGCTAGTCATGAGTTGCAAAAAGCTGGATATGCTATATTACCCTAACATGCTTGCCCGATACTGCCAAAATGACCTCCCTGCCTACATCTGGGTAGGCATTGAGGAAATCAAACGATTCAATATCACTTTATATAAAGTTTGCACGGCATATAGTGGGAAAGATGCTAGCAGGGACGCCCCCGACACGACCGCGGTATCAATGAGGAGACTTCGGGCGCAGGATTTACAATTTCCTTTACCAAAGAACAGTCTATTGTGGAATGCTATAAGCAAGGCGGAATGGGTATCTATAGCGACAAAGGATGTGTACCACCACAACCTGAACAATAATTTGGAAAACGAATGGATATCTAAGTCAGCACATATCTTGGAGGCGCTGGATACAGCTTAAAGTCTGTTTGGATGCTTTGGTCGCTATTTGGTCCTTACGGTGACTTGGCCAGCCAGGACAACTGGATATTACTCAAAAGCAACAAAACAGCGGCTCTCACGATAAGGAACCCTCGACAACACTCATGATACGAATTCCTCTACCAGATGTACAACATGTTAAGAAGACTACAGTGAAACGAAAACCACATCAATATTCCTTAGGCTCCTACCGGCGAAGACAATAAGCTTGTAGGTCTAGCCAAAAGCAGGCCATAACTTCGACACAAAAGGATACTACCCTTTAAGCATCGTTCCCTAGGATAAAGTCGACATCACTCAATATTACTCGGTCTCTAGCACAGACCAGCAATAACTTACTAGAGAACGTAGGAAGACACGTAAAACGAGTGGATACAGCGCCTCAGGAAAAACACACTCTAGAGTTATATAATAGATTGTCGTAGAAAGAAGCGAGCGTGCTAGCCTAATTCCAGACCAGTATAGCCAGACTTAACATGTATCTCTATCGGACTAATGTTGCAGAGACGGTCTAGTATACATATAGACAAGCAAGAGAAACTAGTAGAACACTTCCTCTTTCGATATCGAACGTAGACAGCACACCAGACAGAAACGCAGCAATATACCTATACTTACCAAGTAACATATCCTTTTTCCTAGGCGGAAAATTGCCTTTAGATAATCAGAATTAGATGCCGAGTTGAGAAGCTGTGCCAGCCTCAATACAATTCGCAATAGCCACGGGCCGACTCGACGCCGCCTAACCACGTCGACCAACACAATAACAACCTCCCCATAACGTACCTAAAACCAGCTTGTGCCAAAGATAGTGCACGCGCTTCAAATGTCGAGGATAGGATGTTTGAACACTTCAAGAAGCGCCTTCAAGCTAGTCTACTAACAAAAGTACTAAGCTACAAGGATTCCAACGATATCGGGAGCTAGAGTGGCACGGGTTCCCCGCTGGGCCCGACCCGAACCCGCCCCAACCCGGTCCGGGTGCGGGGAACTCGTGCCACTCTATTTCCAACTATGGCTTCCAGCTTATCTGAGCGTTGGAACTTATCGCACAGTGACAATGAATCAGTGTAGAAGTTGTCGGTGTATTTTACAACCTGGCACATTCCAAGGCTCTCCCTACTCCTGGTATTGATTGACATGTAGAAACACCAACACCCGAAACCCGATTTCGCAATAGTAGCATATTCGAGGATGTATGTAAAGATATTTTGCCTACAATTGAGACAGCAGAACTATTACAGATATCAATAGTATACAGATCTATATGAATACCTAAGTTACTTTACTACTACTTATACTGGCAGCATCTGTGGTTTTGATAAAAGCATGCCTTTCAAGATACAAACATAAATGGAGAAAGTAACAATCTGTTCTCCGTAGCCTCCACGGTCCTATTTTATTCCCGGTCACCCAGAGCAGCAACGAATAATGCAGGCAGGACTGCCAGTGCACCAAGGAAAATCAATCGAATACTAATATAAATGATCCAAAAGGACAGCATCATTTCTGGAGATAGCTTTTGTCACCTAACCTTGTTTACGAGCATCCATAGCTACTCGTTATTCAGGCCACAGGGCTCTAACCGGCCTGGCCGGTATGTAGACCGTCGCTGTCGGCATGAGTGGTGTGAAGTGTAAAGGGAATCTGGATAAAGTCGTAGCGGATAGAAGGAGAGTCCTCTTCGGCTCCAATGGTACGAGGTCGGGCAGACGAGATGGTATCAATTAGTTGCTCCAGGTTAGACTGGGTACCAGCTGCCTTTCCAGATGAACGAACTTCTGTTTCACTGCGCGGTTTTCCCAAATATCCAATGTCCACTGGTGAGCTGGTTACCACGGCCACCAATGTCTCGTCAACCTTCCTCTTCCTCGGAACTTGGGTAGGCCACGTGACTGGCAGACCTGCAAGCTCCCTGTCAAGGTCTTTTGCACCGAGTGTGTATGACCGGCCGCTTTCTAGGTCGATGCCGGTAGGGCTCGAACGTGAGAGGTATGAAATTTGCCCAGCCACATTGACATCAAATAGCGATATGTAGACAGTGTTGTCGCCCTCGTTTCGTAGGTTGATATACACGCGGTCCCCGTCTGCCAAGTAACCCGTGCCATCCTGAGGGATTTTCCTTCCCCGTTTCCCTTTTACAACAAGCCCAAAATCAATTTTGATTCTATGGCGGAGCCTTTCCTCGGGACTTTCGCAATCCAGGCCAAGCAGATGCTGTCCGCGGGCAAGCTCTTCGGCATCAATGACAATATCATTAACTACCTGAGGTAATGAGTTTGGGCCGTGTGCCGTCCTTGCTGAAATTGGAATTCCCTTGCTATTGACAACTTCAATTGTGGGGCCACTCTGCCGAATTACCGCGAGGGGGTCTTTGTCGTCCGCATTACGAGGCCGAAGGTATTCAGACTCGTCCACAAGCAGCTGGAGTCCTTCAACTTCTGCAGGAAACGCAATGGGCCACTCATACAGGGCCTCCTGCTCCAGTATAGCTTTTGCGCCCTCAGCAGGGATGCACTTTTCTTTCCCTTCGAATTCCAGGTGCACACGGGACCTAAAGCCTGAGACGTTGGTGACGAACGCTGTGGCGATCTGAGATTTGGAATTGCCGGCACCAGTGGTGAAAGGGTATATCGCGTAGACATTGTTTTCTAGTACGCCGCCAACCCTTCCTGCGGACAATATTCCCACGCCTTCTTCTATACGAAGGAGCAATGACCTTGACGTTTCCTTCACGGTAAAGGGCATGCGAGCGTGGGGTCCTTCGGTGTGCGGATGTTGCTGGGGGAAACGTACATTCACAAGCTGTCCCACACGGAGTATTATGGTGCTCCAGGACACCTCCTGTCCATCTGATTCCTCCAGTGCCTGAGCCAGGGCTTCCGTGAATGCGCCATTCCACGAGCCAGACGTAGTTTCGTACTCAAAGGCACTCTCACTGGTGTTGCAGGCAACAATCCGGACTGCGTGTGGGTTGCCCTCGAGAAATGTCTCGCCCTTGAGCTCCCCCTTCTCTCTAAGAATCTCCACATACTCTCCAATGCGTTGGTGCTCATGCTCAGCAATATATCTGGGGACTGCCTTGGTCCCGAGGCTGGGGTCTCGCGACATGCGACCAGAGTGACAGCAGTCAAGGATAACGGTAACATTCTTGGTCTTTTGTGTTGTGTCACGAAGAAGATGCGATAACTCGACATCCAATACGCCCCTAAAATCATCTTCCGTCGTCTTATCGTAGTCGATGGGTACAATGAACTGATAGCGCCAAGGCACTTTTTCACCATTTGCTCTGTGTTCGGAATCTGGTGTTAAATGTATGGAGGATTGGACCAGGCCTCCGTATCCTGAATAGTAAATCACGACGACATCTTTATCAGAGCATTGCTGGACAAGCTTTGACCAGGCCGACTTGATTCCATCTCGGGTGGCATTAAGCCCAGAGCATTCTGTTAATATGAAACCTTTGCGCTCAAGGACGCTCCCCATGAGTATTATGTCGCTGGCCGGTCCAAGAAGTCCATTATACGGGCCCGATATAAGTAGCGCTCGCATATTAGAGGCCATATTGTAAAACTGGTAGGATGCCAAGGGAAATGCCAGAGTGCTGTCTTTACAGAAGTGGCATTAAACGTGCTGGCAATGCGTACTTATGAGCCCGCCCTAACGCGCGAAATGTCAAGGCGGCTGCTGAAATAGGACCACTTCCTCTCCCAAGGAACACGGTCTATATTTTGTTGTCACCGTCATCTCCAACGTCCGTAATTTTGAACATGGAGTGATATACAATGCGCAAATACCGTCGTCATGCACTCTCGCATTCCACCAGTTTGTTCACAGGAGCGATATAGTCATGGCATTTGACTCAATCTAGATCGTGTAAGGGCCTAGATTTCATCTTCATTGTGCTCGGGCGCGGTCAAGCAACATGGACGGTTTTGGAAAGCGTGGATCGAGTAGCTCCAAATCCATGGCTGCAGGCATGGCATGCAAAAGCAATCTATTGTTGGGATAGCCTATCACGATTTCATGAATATGAGTGCCAAGATACCTGACATCGATCGGTCTCCAGGCTGCCTGCGTAGTCGCAGTGGTGTGATATAAGCCCACCCGAACAGACCCACATACCCACCAGCCAGACCTAGTTCCGATGGAACCACAGGTCGAGGTCGCGGGCCCGACTTTCAGGCGAAGAGCTGCTTCCGGTGTCTCTTACTACTTTCTCCGGACGCCCCATATACGACCCAATGCCTTCTAACCACCAGCACTTGTAATAAACCGAGTACGGGTCGGGGAAAGCACGATGGACCCCTCTGGGACGCTCATGACGTTCATAAGAACCTCATCTCGCTCTGGACCTCTTTGCAAAACCAGCCCCATGATTATAATCGTAACTATTATTATCTGTATGGATTGAAGTGACCTCAATCCAGTTGCACTTTGTTTGTTTCCAGCAAGTCTTTATCTACAATACAAATCCTGGACCTTTTGATTGTTCGCAATCAGACTGTAAGATGGACTGGAGCTCACCAGAGATACCGAACGTTGCCAAAAACTATCCCGTCCTACGGAATGTCTTGGAGGCTCTTGATAATAGTACTCTGTACATCGATCGCAGAGGGAATTTCAATACAGCTCTTGACATTGCCAAGGGTTCATGCACTCAAAGCCTCTCTACAGGGGGAGGCAGCCTCGCTGCTGCTCTCATTAGCTGCGGGATTGTCCACACCCTGCAGGGTAACTGTAGGAAGGCTGTCGGTGAGTTCAATGAAGCAAACAGTATTGAACATTCCGACCTCGCTCTACGCTTCCTGGCACATACGTACATATATGTTGCCAATACAATAAACTACGACATGCTTCCAGATACTGCTAACGGACATGCGCACGATATTCAATACAAATTTGACAAGATTCAGAATATGCAAGAATGGTTTTCGCGATGTTCCGAGCTTCCCATTATACACATAGTGGATCCCTTGCTATACCGCGAATGTCAGTTATTGCATAAGCATAGGTGTTGGATGTCGACGACTCGACAAGGTCCAGATCGAACAGAGCCTTTGGCAACACAGAACAGGAAGATCCTGCTATCAGGATCAGAGAAGAATCATGATTATCTTGCAAATTTGTGAACGTACCAACGGGGCCTATCAACATTACAGCATGAGAGAGCCAAGTTGTTCGCCCGGTATTTCGAAAAGGAGGACGCCAGGAAAATCCTCAGGAGTGCTCGGGTATATTATGAGCAATCCGATGACATGGTTGGCCTTGGGAATATCGAATTGACACTTGGCGACTGGCTGGTCGCGCCGCTCTCGTGTCCCGAAGTCTGGAATTCATTCCTAGAGGAAGGTACCGGCGATAATTCACTGCACTGGAAAATTGAGGCTGCTGAGGCTGCTATTGATATCAATTCCGTTGGCGAAGCGAAACGGCATTATGACAAAGCTTTAAGACTATTCACCTCGCGAAACGCCCTCAGAGGAGTGGCAGCGGTCAGACTGCGCCTCGGATACTTGTCCGTTGTCAAAGGTCTCGCAATCACGGATATTGAGTTTGAGAAGGACTTTGCAGCAGCACGACAGGAACTACAAGCAGCAGCGGCCCTTTTCCACGATACCGGGGACACCATGGCTTTTCAGCTATGCCAGGCCCACGTGTCCATTTGCGATGTGGGAGAGAAACAAGGTCCGGAAGATCTGCAACGGGCAATCAATATTGGACAGTGGGGCCGCACGGACGGGAGTTTTGGATATGCTCTAGGACTAGGTCTCTTGTTTGCACGAATAGGACGGCGTTGGGCAAATCACATTGGTGACTGTGAGCGTGCGTTTACATGTTTGCGCCTGGCCGAAGCCTTGTTTAAGCATCTAGGCGCAGGATTGTCTCGCATCCATGCTATTGCCGACCAGATGAACTTGTACCAGCTGATAGGAGATTTTCCAAGTTTCTCAAGATTGGCTGTTGTTGCTTTGGATGAATGTGAGGCGTTGCAAAGCCAGGAACCGAGCCTAACAAACCGTATTGAGGTGGTGTCCAGGTGGATTTTGATTGGCATGCTAGGTACAGCTATGAGCAGAAAAGACCTGACATTAATTGACCGCGCACTGGATTATATTTCCGCCCATTTGGAAATGAATTTGCCAAAGGAAGCTACCATGTTCCCGCGAGTGGATGAGACCGCTGTCGCTATAGCCACAATCCGATTGTCAGAGGATCCCGAGGCTATAACCAAAGCGATGCACGACGCCCTCAAGTCTTTCGATCCTAATCAAATGGCTCAGAGCATTTTGATGTCCACTGTCACAGATTCCAAAGTCTATAGGGAATTTTACCGTGGTTTGAGCCATAGAAGAGAGGGCAATGCCGAAGAAGCTCGAGGGTGTTTTCGAAGCGTCCGAACAAAAGCCCAAGTTTATGACGACTCTCGGAGAGATCACATGGAAGCCATGGCCTATGCAGGGGAGGGTGATTATGCCAACGCGAGGAGGGCGAACAAGATGTCTCTCAAGCTACGAATGGAGGATCTTGATATACGAGACCAGCGAGGCGAGAGCACCCCTCTCGACGCTGATAGCAGGAGGCACATTGCCGTGGAGGCCCTTATGGCTTTGGTTCAATTCGATGACTATGAAGAGGCCGAGTCGTGGTTACATTTCCTAAATCATAACTTTCCAGATTGGTGGAGGCTTCAAAGTTCTCCTTGGTCAGGTCTTTATTACATGGAAGAGGGCTTTGGACACTTGGATTCCGCTCTCACAACCTATGAAGGGGCCATATCGCTGTTCGAGCGGCACCGTCAGAACTTATCTATTGATGAGCTAAAAGTTGCTTTCTCTGGAGGATCTACGACGCAGAAGATCTTCTTTGCCTGCGCAAGAACCATGTTCAAAATGCGCCAACGGCACGAGTCCGTCACTGTCTCTGCCAAAGATATCGAGCCAAGAATATTTAATGTGGTTGAGCGAGGAAAGGCTCGAAGTCTGCTGGATCTCATGCAAGGTGGACTGGTGGGCAGCGGCCAGGTTGCCACTTCTAGTCCATTGCGCCGCTGGAGACAACTACATGCCTCACGATCGATGCACTGTACGCTCATCCAGCACAAGTTTGGTAATGGCAAAGTCGATCATGCAGAGGTAACGCATCTCAAGGACTTGATTACGAAGATCGAAGGCCAAATTCAGAGCGTCGAAAAGGAAATGCAACTAAGAGGTGGCACGGCAAAACCAGTCACTGCTGAGGTCAGCTCTCTTATAGAAGTCGCCACCAATCTCCCTGAGGATACGTTGATACTACAGTACATGTACAACGATAGCAGGTTGTTCGCTTGGGCGACCAGCAATGAAGCGATGGTAAAGCTAGTACATAAGGAACTTGAAGAATACTGGCTCGATCGAGTTGCTAAGGAGTTTCACGATGCCTGTGACAAAGGACTTATGACCACGCATGGGGACCAACTTTCCGACACGCTCCTGAGACCGTTTACCCACCTCCTGGAGCGCTACACGAGACTTATTATCGTGGCACACGACTCCCTCCATCTTGTGCCCTTCCACGTTCTGCCGTTTAAAGGAACACCTCTTGTGCTCTCTCATGTGCTGACATATCTCCCAAGCTCAATCATCTTACGCTAACTCCTCCAAGAGAAGAGAAAGCAGCACCAACGATCGGTACTTGCTCTGGGTAATCCCGCGAGTATGACAATAACAGACCGAAACAACAAGACACTTTCTGCGTCACGGTTGCCTGGTGCAGGTAAGGAAGCGCAGGAGATTACTGAAATTTTGCCAGAGAGCAAAGCCCTCCTAAATAAAGAAGCCACACTTGAAAACTTGCTGAAGTAGATACACGATTACCCAATCCTCCACCTCGCCACTCATTGCAAGTTCGACCCGGAGGTGCCACTTTTGTCATCCATTTGCCTTGCCTATGGGAGACAATTATCAGTCCTCGATCTCCTCGACCTGCACCTCGACGTTGATATTGTTATATTCAGCGCCTGTCAAACCGCGAAGGGAACACCTACTGCTGGAGACGATATAGTTGGATTCAGCCGTGCTCTTTTCGCAGCAGGTGCCCGAGCAGTCATGGTCAGCTTATGGCCTGTTGATGACAGCGCAACATCCGAAATATTGATCGACTTTTATAAGCGGCTTTCGAGTGGCAAATCACCAGCAGTCGCATTGCAGGAGGCGCAGGGTTCCTTTTTCAACCAGCATGCCGGATCGCGCAGGGCTAATCAAGGTAATTCGAATAATACGTCAGATCGTGCTATAACGCAGCAGTTGTCTGTGAGAAGAATAGGCCTCCAAAGAGATATCACCAATAACGAGCAGGTTACACATACAGACCATTCCCTCCTTACGTTCTGGGGGCCGTTTATCTTGATGAGTGCCTAGTTGCCCGCACCAAATCTGACAGATCACGCTGGGAGAAAAGCACGCCGCTGGGAATCGTTGTTCAGTTTTAAAAGTTGTTCGAACTTCATGAAGGTGTGGCAAAGGCTTATTACTTTGTACTGAGCTCAGATTGACTAGCTATATAAGCTCAACATTGATTGTCATTGCAAAGTTAGTGAAGCTTGGAGCATCGAGGATCATGCATTCGCAATACGACTTCGACTTGATTGCTTCCCTTCTAGAGTAGAGGGACGAACAAGAGACAGAATAAAATTAGTTTTTGAAAGGTAGTTACAGTGTTATTTGTTAACTGGTGACACTACCTGGTCCAGGGAATAGAAAAAACAACTACTCTTTCGCGAAACAAATTTTTGGAATTACGCCACCACCCCACGCCGGAAACGGCTAAAAATTTGCCTAGTTTCTCGTTTCTATGAGAGCTATCTCCTGATACCAGCATCGACTGGTAGGAGATGGTGTTGAGTCGTGCGCAGCCCTCGGCCCCTGCGGGCGCTGCCGACGCGGCCGACAACGCGGCGAGACCCCTCCAAAAACGCGTATTGGACCACAACCGCGAGGCTGCTAATCTGCTCGAGTATCTCAAGGCCCATGGCTCAGGCACCCCGAAACGGGTTATCGAGTTTATCCAGGCCAGCTGGTCCCTTACTGACGCCCTGTCCCACTTCCCGGTGGGGGACGCGTGGAAGGTCCAGCTGGACGAGATGCAACGCGCTATTAATGATATCAGGAAAGATGCCAACGAACTTACAGCGAGGACGGAAGATCCCATCCGGATGTATGCTCAAGCGGCGGCCAGGGCTCCTCCACCATACCATTACCAGTCGACGCATGACTCTAACAGCACCGTGCCGGCGCGCCCTGCTGACCTCGACTGTGAACGCGCCGTCACTGTGAAGATGGGTGATTCCGCCATGGCCAAGAATCTCCGGAGGCTCACCAGCGAGGACCTGGTCAAACGCGCCGAGAAGTATCGCAAGAACGCCGCCTACAAGGCCGTCAGTCCTACGCTGATGTCTGTCCAGTTCGTCGCTGCGAAGATTCTGCGGTCAGGTGACTTGCGGCTCTTCCTCCGCAGCGCCAAGGGGGCGGAAATCGCGCGTATCTACCGGGACGCTTGGGTCCGCGGGTTCGGTGATACAGCGCGGGTCGTCCTTCCAACATGGGGGGGTGGTCGCCGCGGACATGTCTTGCAAGGCCTTAGGCCTGCTGAAAGACGAGGCGGACTGTAAGCGGATCGCCCAGGAGCTCGTGGCCAATAACTGCCATGCGTGGGGTGATTCCTGTGAGATTGCATATATCGGCTGGCTCGTCCGTCCTCTGCCGGGCAAGAAGATATCTTCGATTGTCATTGAATTTACTACGCCGCACTATGTAAATAGGGCCATCGAGACTGGCACTGTCTGGGACTTTCGGGTCTCTGAGAATGCTCTGTATGACCGGACGTCTTGTGTAGTACGATGCAACAACTGCCAACGATACGGCTACATAGGAAATATCTGTCCCCACGACACTGTTTGTGGCGCGTGTGCGGGCAAGCACGAGACCAGAGCTTGTCCGGACCGCGACACCCCCAGGCTTGTACCGAAATGCGCCAATTGCAAAGGCGACCACACGGCCTGGTATAAAAAGTGTGAGGTTTATATTCAGGAACGGGAGAAGGCCCAGGGACGAGTGCTGCACCGGTCTCGATACTATCGGACTCCCGCCTATCTACAAGACCCGGATGGTAGCGCAACCGGGTCCGCCGCACTGAACGCGAGCCCCAACACGGAGCCTCGCACCGAGACAGGGAGTGAGATGTCAGGGGGATTGTCAGTGGGAGCCAGAGCCGCCCCACAGGACGAGAATGTGGGATCTGGGGGACTGTCTCCGGCAGCCAGAGATGCGCCGGACCACTCGCCGATAGAGGGATTGAGGTTCACCGAGAACACTCCTCTGAGCGAGACTAACCTACCAGTTGGCAGTACGGCTATTGAATCGACGCTGACCAGTGTCCTGACCCTACCATCAACCCTTCCAGCGACTACCACCCGCCGGAGTATAGTCTCCTCCGGCACCGAGGGAACTCGACGGAGTCTCAGGCTCGTCAGCCAAATCCACCGCGCTATAGGAACCACTAGACTGAGTATACAGAACGAAACGCACACACAGACACGATCGCTGAGTCCGAGAAAGTGCCGGCGGGCACAGGAATCTGTGGGCCCCGATACCGAAATCCGAGGCCGGACCCGGTCAGCTACTACGACCACTGCTTCGACTCTAATCTATGACTAAACAGCTATAAATATTATAATACAACGTGAACCGATCCAGGGATATCGTGATGGCGTAGTTTCTCCGCGACCCGGTGGTGCTGCAAGCCGATATCATCGCGATTTAAGAACCGTGGAAGAATCCTTACTCAGATACGACACACCATCCCGCGTTTGGCAGTCACCAGCTTTTGTATCCCACTGCCAGCGACATCGGAGACCGGAGAGTGCGCGTGGCTCTTTACATCTCACGCAAAGTCAACCCTAAAATATGGAAGCATACCGTATACTCTGCTGACTGCCAGGAGCTCGAGCTCTATATATATGGTAAGAAGCTGCAGATCTTCAATATCTATAATCCCGGACCGTGGGATACAACCCGAACTGATACTATTGAACTACTTGACCGAATAGTATGCCCGACAGGAAATTATATTATTCTAGGAGACTTCAATCTCCACTACCCGGTCTGGTCCGAATGAGATGTATATACCGGTCCGGACCAGAGCGAATAAATTACTACTACAACCGACACCGACGCCGACAATGATACCGGTAAAGACCGACGGACTCGCACAGACCGAAAAGTACCAGTACTACTGGAATTTACCGACTCCCGCCTTCTGGACCTATGGCTAGAACCGGGAACGGTGACCCGAGACTGGAACAATTACCGGTCCACGATCGACCTTGTATTCGGAGTGCAGAACCTCGCAGACCAGTTTATAGCCTGCGAAGCAGCTCCCAAGGTCTACACGGACTCGGACCACCTGCCAACCTGTACAATTCTAGACTTCTCTCCGCAGACACACCAGCCACCGCAACGATGTTACTGGAAGGCCATGGACGCAGCCAAGCTGTGTGAGTTTGTGGCGGACAACCTCAATATATATTCACACTGGAACAGGCTCGGGACGGATCCCACGCCAGCCGCGATTGACAGTACCGCAGACTTTCTTATGGAGGTAGTCCAGCGCGCTATTTAATATGCGGTCCCGTGGGCCCCGAGAAAAAAAAAATTAATAAACTAAGTTATTTATAATTATAATCAATTATAGTATTAGCTGGATTGAAATATAAATGTCCCGAGAAATATAGAATGGCTATAGAAAGTCTGTCTCCTTCTTGTACTGTCTGGAAAATACTGATTATCACCGAATCCCACCTAAACCATAGGTTAAACTACATCGGCTCCCAAGCCAGGAACCCAGATCCAAGTCATCAGTACCGGACTGCCCTGTACGGGCACTGTATTATTCAGCACTGCCTTGACCATCTTGCTCAATAGCTCTGTCTACTACGGCGGTACCCAGACAATACGCGGCCCACCCTCTGAGTTGAAATTATGGGTTCGTATCCTCCGTGTATGGCTGGAGGGCGAGAAGCGCACTGTCTTGTCCCTTATCGAACGCTGTTTTAATGGCTATACAGCCATTACCGACATCTCCGGTTGTCAGCTCCTCCCCGAGCTGCTGAAGCTTTGCCTGGATACTAAAGTTGTATGTACCGTGTGCGATCCGGTTATATAGGAGAAAAGTATAAACTAGATCTATAGCTTTATATATCTATAGTTTCTCAAGGCTCTCCTCCTCCTACTACCGGGTATAAGATACTTTGTAGACTTTAGTTGGTTGTTACACCAGCAGTAGAGCAATCTATATAGAAATAGTTAACAGTTTAATTCAGTAAAGAAGATCAGCGATACACTTCCCCAGAGAGAAATCTATTCCAGATATATAACTTGGCTGGAGAAGAATATACCCACCGATTATCTTATATTTTTTGATATTCAAGAGGGTTGGGAGCCGCTGTGTAAAGCGCTAGGCAAAGATATCTCTACAGATATACTCTTCCCGTATATCAATAATTCTGAGCAGATTATATATACTGCGAAGTATTATATTTAACAGGCCTTGCTCCGATGGGCGGGGATTTTTGCTATCACAGGAATTGCTATTACAAGTATTATATAGCAACAATAAAGTAATAGTGAAGTGGATAGAGTATAGGGATAGTAGAGTATAACGCATTATACCTAGAATAATTTAAACTAGGAAGCTACTTGATCCATCAGTCTAAGCAGAATCAAGGTGGGGAGAGACAGCTGTTATACTAATTACTGTAGTGTGTGATTTCGTTCGGCTTCTTTACATATAAGAATACACCTTCGAACAATAAAATTCTACTAGCTTGTGGCTTTCAATAGTTAAACTCGACTAGGGAACTAAATCTAGATTAATAGCCTATAGATTAGATCAGCCCAGCTGCAGTAGACCAAGTAATAATATAGCTAGCTGAATCCCATAGTACCGGAGAATAATTCTTTTCCAAAAAAATAACGAGTGTAAAGTTTAAATGCTATACCTGCTAACAGGGTAAGTAATAAATATAATTACTTATTTAAAGAAATAATCTTTCAGTGTTATATTAATATATATAGGAAAATAAATATTATTCCACATGCGAAAAGATTGTGAGTGGAGCTGTGGCACAGGGATTATATTTTATATACAGCTAGCAATTTTTGTATACGAACACCTCCCACAGGAATCGGCATAACCTCTCAGATATACTGCCATTGAATCTTCTGTCGATTATTTCGGCAGCTAGACTCCATATATATTATATATAAGTAGGTACCGTTCAAGATTACCCGTATAAATACTGTCCTAAATCCATCGTAGATCACCCCTTAACTCTATACATTGTCTGGAATATTATATTAGAGAAACTCGATACAAAGGGGCCATTAAATATATATTTTTTCCTCCGAGACAATTGAGAACTAGATTCGTGTGGTTAACCAACTCCAAATCTTTACCTGGTATCAAGCAGTTGCTATTACTCGAATTATCCAACCACTACAGTATGACAGTCTACTTCTCAAAGACCCCAAGCATCCAGAAGATACCGCAGATAATACTCTTATCGGCCTTTCTCGAGAACTATACCGCCCAGAACGTTACAGAACTGTAGAACAAGGAGCAGATTGGTTTGAATTCAACAGAAGAAAAGAGAGATTGATATTCTCTAACAGTTTTATAGATTATCTGTAGGCCTCTAGACTACCTCCTATTATCTGGGAGAAAGAATATCTGAGACAAGCTTATACTGGTATTCAATAAGTAGCTCCGGATTCCACCAGAGAAGACGGAAATTATAAGCAATATTGTGTATCTGCTATACACAGTATCTCTGCTATAAGATTTACCTCCTGACCAAGATACCTTTATTCTATAGTGAACCGTGGTTAAATCGAGTACTGCAGGATTGACAATATCCAAGACTCCTCTAAGCTTCGACAAGGGAAACCAGTCGCCTATAGTATCTTTGGTATGGCTCAGACTATTAACTCCGCCAACTACGTATACTTCCTAGTACAGCAGAAGCTGTCCGCTCTACACAGCACAAGTGCTAATAATATCTTTGTCGAGAAGCTTCTGAATCTTCATAGGGACCAGGGAATAGATTTGTACTGGCAAGACACTCTGACATACCCTACAGAGGAACAATACATTGGCATAATTCTAGACAAGACGGGGGGGTTATTCTGACTCGCAGTCAAGCTTATACAGTTGGAAAGCCATTATATATGGTGTCAAGGAAATATCTACTATTCAGGGTAGAAGACCTGTCAACTAGGTAAGGGTACGTAGGCTGAAAGCTAAGCAGTAGATATCAGGCAGACAGAAGACTGATTCTTGCCTTCCTCTTTCATTCACACTAGGCTAACTTTATATCCAGAAGAACCCCCTTATTCTCCCAACAGGATAAGACTGACAAGGAGCTACTATACGTTATTGAAAAGACGACGGATATGTGATCCGTCGTCGCCGTTCGGCCTCCGAGCTGTATATGCACAACGGGCAGGGTATACGATACAGTCATCATGCAGAGTCATCATCGGATCTGTGACA